GTAAAAATTGCTCAAGATCAGTAACAAGTTTCCTTCCTGCCCAAGAATGCCATCCATGTCTCCTAGGAAAAACAAAACAAAACAAAAAACAAAACTACTGCTTGTTTGGTCTTTTATTACTGACAAATATTAATGGTTACAAAGATAGCATTCTCCTTTGAAAATAAGAGTAATATAAGCTACTGTTAGGGTCTGTATGGGTGGGATTTATCACCCCGAAGTTTAGCCATCTAAATTTAAACATCCATTTTAAATGATGTGTTTATTCTCACACTGTGAGAATGAAAAGAGAGATGCACTTCCAACATATGATTCATGCTGCCTTAAGATGGAAACCTAAAATATGTGGAAGATATCCATTTACTTGAAGGAATCTAGGTGAAGAATTCATACAGGATATCTAAATTTTGAACATGTAAAATTATTTGAAAAAAATACCAAGGAACTACGTACGCAGAAAAGGAAAGCCATAGAATAATTGGCAGGAATGCAGGTTAATTATTGCCTGATTATTAGACTACAAAACAGAAGCAATAAATCAAAACCACAAATCCTGAAACTATCCTTGAGAACAGAAGAAATAATAAAATTCTTTTCCAATTTTCTCTACTAAATGCCATGATGTCAGTGCCTAACAGTAAAGTGTTTGAAGGAGCTGTGATTCATCATCATTGCTGTTGCTTTCCTGTATTTCATGTAATTATCCTTAATTTGACTTCTGCATGTATTCAGCCAGTGGATAGAGACACAACTTACTCAACAGCTATCAGCCATCTACTTTGGACTTCTGGCCTATGTGGAAAGGAACCATGCTGGAAAAAAGTCTAGACAAGGCTAAAAAGTTCTGCATCGCCTGGAAAAGGAGCGAAGTCAGGTGCAAAAGGGCAGCAGGACTGACACTGGAGCTCAGCACCAGAGATGAAGGAAAAAGAGGACACAGCAAGATTGCCTCGGTTCATTTCCAGGCAAAAAGTAGTCATGAAATCTACAAAGCTGTTACTTCAGACAGAGAAGTGGTGGAGATAACAGTAAAAGCAGCATACCTCTGGGGAGAAGAAAAAAACAAAACAAACAAATATATACATATTACTAAATTTATATATTAATATATATATAAAATCTTGTCATCTCTCTTCTGCATCTTCTCTGTTTCTAACTTCAGATGAATTCCAAAGAGGCTTTTGGATGTAGACAGACTCCCCATGATTTCTTCTGCTTGTTTCCTGCCTCTGACTTGCTTTGAGTTCCTGGCTTATACTCTGCTATCCTCCTACAGTGCCTTATGGCACTGTCTTAGGGCTATCCAAAAATACATGTGCTTGATAAAGAAGCTGCCTATTTGCTTGAAACTGATATTGGCTTCCTGGGTCTTGTTAGATTATACCTTCAGTTCATTAATTTCCTTACAGAACAATGCTTTTCTAATGTAATGATCCAGTTTCAGTGAGTCAGCTACTTTAACCAAAAGTGTGCCACATTACTGGGTTTAGGTAGGATGGAATCTCTAGGTAACCTCTGTGTTTCTTTTCCCTCCGTTTATAAACTGTTACACATGGACAATCCTTTACCCAATGAAATTACAAGAAAAATACTTAATTGCTGTGTCAAGGCATAGAAATACTCAGAGTCACAGAGCATATTCAGAACCACTGTCCTGTTTTTTGTATGGGTAACTTGCAGCAGGCTGTACTTCCAATCACCAGAGCGAAAGTGGAACAGTGCTGATAGAAGATGCACAGAAATGTGATTTGGAGGCTCAGATGAGTTTTGCTGCTTCGAGTTTCATACACTATCTTCCTCTCCCCTCAGCATTATGCATGCATACAAGCACACTAATACATTTATTACATAACTGTTCAGAAATGCTCCCATTTCTCAGGAAGGATGCATCTTATTCACACACCTTACGCAAACAAGCTATGAATTGCTACACAAGTAAGGACATGCAATGTAATTTTAAAAAATGCTATTCTGGTAATGCTGCCATGTCCCTTCCCCGGTACTAAGAGTGAGACTCTCCTTTGGGCTTGTTCTCCATTCCTGGAATTGAGAAAACACTGGTAATTCAACACTGATGGGGACGAGCTCTACCATGAGCAACAAGACCCTACTTACCCCTGCAACACATACTTTAATTTGGAGATTTAATAGCCAACTGGATAGTTTTTAAAGAGCTGACCTAGACAGTGCTAGTCACCAGAATCCATGTGTGGGTTAACTTATGATCCTGTGCATTGCCTTGCTCACCCTTGTCCCAGTCTGAATACAGCTGTAGGAAAGCAGGCGATGAAATGAATGAACTGTGGCTGCAGCTTGATTTCCATTTCTAAAAAGAGACATATTCTTCCAGCTGGAGGCTTCAAACAGCTGGGGCTTATAAGCAGTTTGTCTCAGGTGCAGATTTGTGGAATAAATCACAGGGCTTTTTTCCCCAGCTGTGATTTTTTCTCCTTTAAACAGCCTGTTCACAAAGCCTGTGAGAAATTAATTTCTCATAGACCTCATCCTATTGCTGAAGTTGTGCTAAGGTTATTTGGGTGCAGGCAGAGGCAGAGAAGGTGATTGTGCTTTGGCAAGAAGTTTTACTGTGATAACTCTAGAAACTTTTTTTTTTTTTAGTTAATTCCTAAACGATATGAGCTGAAAGCAAACTGTCTCCATATTTTCAGACACTGAAACACAGCAATATTTAGTTACAGTCAGTAAGCACTATTCTGCAGGAGAGCACTGACGTGAAAACATACTGTCTCAGGTATCGGTAGTCTTGTAAACTGTAACAGTTAGCTCAGGCTTAGATCCTTATCAATGAGCATGAAAATGGAAAGAGGAGAAATCTTCACGGGAAAGCTGATTGGTTTTGTTATTCTAAGGAAGTTTCTGCATGCAGCAGTAAATATACTACTAAGCTGCAACTTGAATTAAGACTACTTTACTTTAAATCCCTGTCAATTTTACAATGCATTTCTTGAAAGAGGAAGTATACAGAAGTAAGAGTGGAGCATAAACAGAGCAGGTGAGCTGCTGACCCTGTTCCTACACCAGTCCCCCTACCCCTGTCTAATTCTGGTACTTTTCCTGCAGCGCTCCTCACTGCAGGGCAGTTTAGGAGTGTTTTGGCAGAGAACAGTCTGCTTATTCTCCCTGGAGACTGCACAAAGATCACAAATCCTCCTTGGAGTTCTTAACCCTTATATACAACTGACGGCTTTAATCTTCTGGGTTACTAAAGGAAGAAGCAGTGCCAGTATGAGGGGAGAAGTCATATGTTCAGACCTCTGGGTAGTCAACACATTGTTTTGCATGTTTGATGCATTTTGTGAGCAGAATTCTGTCACCTGCTATGCACAGGGCATGTCTGTTTAAACACACTATTGTTATAATTAAAATTAGTAACAGAATTAGGTCGCTGAGCCTTCTTTTCTTGAGGAATTGTTTATTCCAATCATGTTAGTCTCTTCTGCTCACTTCCCCCTAAGATTCTCATTTCTGTTATACTCCGTCCGTCTGTCTTTTCCTCTTGGCAGAACTGGCACTACTGTTCCTTCTGCTGTTAGCCAGGTCCCAGTAGTAGTTATCACAGCAAAGTGATAGGTGAATGCTGATCTTTTTGCAGAAAAATTGAGATGACAGACCTCTTAAGCCAATTAAATCAACTATTCACACAGTAGAACATTCTGTCCAACCCTTTTTCCAGCTGGCTGAAAAAGTTGCAAGAGATAAACCTAGCATTACTAACCCTACCTCTCACAAACCTCCCAGTAACATTTTTCATTTATGCAGCAATGCTCCACATACAATTCAGAGCATTTTAAGTCATGAGTAAATGTTTATCCTGCACTGAAAAACTGAGAAAATAAGTTATGCGTTCCAAGCATCACGTGACTTTATTGTTAGGGAGAGACTGATGTCTTGTGTCTTCTTGTCACACCATTCTGGAGCTACAAGAACCATTTCTGAAAGATAGTGGAATGCTGACGTATAATGCTTGGGGTTTTTCCACTGTTTTAGCATGCTTGGCATTAGTGTTAGACTGTTTCTGGAGATGACTGAACATTGTCTTTTTTTTTTTTTTTTTGGTTTACAGGGGTTTTCATCTCTTTTACATAAGGATTGCTTTCACAGCACCGATTGCTTCAGGCAAGTGTTATCTAAATGTGTTTGAATGTCTGCAATCATCAGAAGCATGTTTGGCAACTTTTTGTCAGAACGCAATAAATACACAGCAATTAAAAGAGAGATTATGAGAATCTGGTAGGCGGGCAAACAAGTTTCTAAAATGAGCATTTTCCACACTTAAATATTTGCCAGTATAATTTTTAAAGAATCCAGCAGTTCATAAACTGCTGTGGTGCTCCGCTGTCTTCTAGATAGAATAAAAGCCCCTTTTATTTAGAGGGCAGCACAGGAAACAACATGTGAACATTGGTACAGTACTGATAAGTCTGGTGTGTCCCAGTATTTCTCTTGAACATTTTCTGAATGTCAAAACAGCAAAACCAAGCATCATGACATTTAAACTTGACTCAATTTCCTTCAGTGACAAGATAGTCTAAGATTTGAGAATTCCCATCAAGGGGACAATAAGTGTACAGTTATAAAGTTTGCCTTCTTAGGTGCTATCCAGATCAGCTCCCCATCAGATGGTTTCACGTGAAGGGTTTGCCATCTGTGGTACAAGGGAAACACACAAATAAAGCCTCTGTTCCTAATTTTACGAAAATCTACTGGAAGTTGGTCAGAAGCAACTTTCCCAGGAACAGTAAAGATGCAACAGGTCATAGCATTCAGCAGATTTGATCTAAAAACCCAAACGATGCCTTTTTAGCGTCACACAACGTCTGCTACAGTAGTAGGTCATTTATACTGAATGTCCCTTGAGTTCCAAAGTTCATCTTGTTTCTTTGTAACTCTCCCCACTACTTACGGAAAGTTGCTGATCGGAAGTTGCAAGGCAGTTGTAGCTGTACCTCCAAGGCAGCTCTTAGATGTACGAAGTACTTCGAGAACATTTTATTCACACTCACTAGGGCTTACAATGGAAGTTGAATTTCGATCTACAGAAACCTGTAATTCAGAGAAATGTAATTCATGTGCCAATGTAACAGTCACGTGTTCCTTGTTATTAGTAATTCATATGTTCTTGAACAGATACTTTTATCTATTTTAAGGATTTAAAACTATTACTAGAAAAAAACAGTAGAGAACGGTACACAATTTGCTACCTACAATCAGGTTCTTGCAACATGAAAATGTAAGAATATCAAAAAGTAACTTTTCAGAAAATGGACAGAATCTTTAAGATATATATGTAGTTTGAAAGAGGACAGTCTTTTCCAGGTTGTATGTGGGAGGCTTTGGATATCATCCAGGATGACTCAGTTTGTCTGGCTTTTCTGAGTCTGTGACAACCAAAGTGATGCAAACATGAAATACAATCATAACATGCCAGTGCTGCTTTTTAAGGTCTCCGCTGTGCCTCACAGCATTTATTCTCCCATAAACAGTAGAAATGTCCTTAAGATGCTATTTCTTACTTTATCAAACTGCTTACTGAGGTAAATCTAAAGTCAGCAAGCTTTCTTATACATTAACAACAGCAATATAAGCAAATAGGTTGATCCTATTTCTTGTCCTTGATTCCAAATACCATACTTCTTTGAGCTTTTTGAAGCTGCAAACATTACTGTAGGCTAATAAGGATTAAAACAAACAAACAAACAAACAAACAAAAACCCACAAAACAACAACAACAACAAAAAACTTCAGAAAAGCAAATGCTTTTCCATTCATGTAACCAGAATGAGAAAACGAAAAGCACAAGAAGTACTCTAATACACATACACTTCTTAACTTGTGCCAGAAAAAAAGTGAGAGTAAGATAATGCTATTGCTTGTGGCTTTCAGGCCTGACCCACAAGAAGCTCTATGAACAAAGATGTTAGCCCACAGTATTAGTATTTCCATGTTCCATAATTTCATGCTACTAGACTCATTTTTCATAGAATGTCCCTAGCTTTCTGCTGTATGAGATAAACACTGACATCACAGAACAGTGGTAATGATGCCACCTGAACAGCAACTGTGAACAACTTAGATGCCTTCACCTCACTTAATTGAACAATTCTAATAGTTAGTGTGGAGTTACAAATTTTGGAATTCAGACCCTAAAATTAAGTTGTAGAGATAGAATTTTCCAGTAGTTACTTTATACGTGTGTGTGTGTGTGTGTGTGTGTATACATAATCAGTTTGCATTCTGTCTTATAACGTATCACCAAAATTGCTGTCAAAGAGGCTTAGGTTGAAAACTGAGATCCTGTGTAATTACTCTCACAGGTTAATTGGCTAATTAAGACAGTATGAAGGTGAACATATAAAAGTTAAAAACTCTTTTAGGAAGCAGTATATCCCATTGGAAACAAACTGGTCTTGTTGCTATTGATGCCAGGACTGACTGTGTTTCAGGACAGTGCTATAACAAACTCTCACGTGGAACTAACATACACTTTGCAGCACAATATTCAGCCTCACCCTTCCTCCCTCCTCACTCCAGGATAGGCCCTTTGTTTCAGGCAGGGACTGTGCTGGGGTACTTCCCAGATTTGAAGGAAACTGCAGTTTGTTTTTGGAACTTTTCCTTGAAATCTATCTGTCCTCCCCCAACTCCTTTTCCTTCTCAGTTCCATGACTTAATGAAGTAGGTTCAAAAGGCTGGTGGCTGACAGTTTCTGAAACAGGTGGCTTGTAAGATAAAGGCCTGACACTTTCCTGCTCTGATATGCCTTCTATCAGCGGTTACTAGCAGGCTTAGTCAGACAGGCTACAGCTCTTAATATTTGAGGCTAAAAAATTCTACCTTTTGTATAAGGACTTTAAAGGAAAGAAAAAGAAACTTGTAACTGTTCAGCGCATATGAAATGTGAGTTTAAGGCATCAGACGAGATTTCTGACAGGTGAGGAGATGCTAATAGAAAAGTGCTTTCTGTCTTTTCAACACTATGCCCATAATGAACATCCAGGACCATGTTCCCTGCTACTTAGAGAAAAATACCTTTAGCTAGATGCTCACTTCATCATACCAAATAATGTGAAGGAAACCATTCCTATCTTTGTAGGATGCTGTAGAAATTATAATCTTTGGAGAGGAATTTGAAGCACTTTAGGAAATGTATGAGTTATCCCTGCTCTGCCTGTTTTTAATACACACACATACACAGACCCCAACACACACACACACACAGTAAAAATGGCGCATTGGACTTGCAGACTATCTTCTGCTGATGCTCCTACACCCATGTGGGTTGAAGGAGCAGTCTGAGGTGGGCTTCTGCTCAACTTGGAGGGAGCCTGTGTTTTGTGGCACAGGTGCACCAAGAGAAGGCATCCTGGAAAAAAGCGCAGAAATCTAAAAGGCACCATAAACTACAGGGCATTTCTACAGATACGTATATACCAAATAGGCCAGGAGTAGCCACTACATCCATTATTTATATAGCAAGCTGGCAGTATTTCCTGAATGCATTTATCTACCAATTTCATTTTTATTTCAAAAATATTTTTTTCTACTTACAGAACAAAAATTTAGAAAAAAAGCACTGAAAATAGGCATAAAGCCTGAACATTTAAGGCTTCAGTACAGAATAGATAGGAACTGAAAATCAAAACCAAGAAACTCAATAGAACAAAACAAAATACTGTGGTGTACTAAGACTGCAGTTTTGAAGCATCCCAAACACAGCGGAACTCCAAAGTAACAGTGTGTTTGACAGGGACCTCCATCAGTGTTGTCACCATCTCTAGGGATGTCACTGAAGAACCCTCCTTTTTGCAAATTAGGGCAATCGTTATCTCAAGTGTCTTGAGGTCCAGCAAAATGATGCTATACTTTACAGTACACTTCATGTACTATGGTTATTTTCATTCAAATTAAACTTTCTCTTTATTATTCTTTTTTTTTTTTTTTTCCCCTTTCTTTTTTTCCCCATTTTGCAACTGAGTCTGGCAAAATAGGTAAGCCCCAAACTATAAAACTATGAAAATCAGAGGAAAAACATTCAAATAATCCATTTTCTTTTTCACAAAACTTTTCAAAACTTTCACACGGATGAACACAAATAGAAAAAAGGAAAAAAAACACATAAATATTAAATTACATTGTCTCTATTCTACGGAAAAGAACAGGACTGGACAAAAAGAAGAAAACAGAAAAGGAAAGTATATATGTAAACTAATTTTGAGACTACTTTCTAAAATGTCTCATTTGCCAATGAAAAAATGTTTTCAACAAATAATTTGATTTCCATAAAACTACAAATAAAAAGTAAAAGAGAAAACCTACTAAAACTTCCCCTTCCAATTTTCAAACATCTTGCGCAACTATTTATCACAATAGCATATTTCCTAGAAATGGACAAAACCACAGCCTGCTATATTTGTTCTGTGCCACAGAGGTCAGATTGGATGTTAGCTGGAACCAGGACCTTGGAGGATGTCCTTCTCTCCCTTTCTGAAGACGGCCAACTGAACAACTCGATTCACAGGGGACTGTACATTAATTGCAAGTGACTGGCTGCCTGGGTGTACCTCACTCGGCTGTGTGCCATCTATTGTGTCCTCAGTAATGAATCTCACAGTGCTGATACTTGGGAAGTTAATATGTCCATGAAAGGAAGCTGCTGATTCCCATCCAAGACATCATCAACACGACACATTCTCTTCAGCTGAGGTCTCACGAATTAATTAATGCAATCCAAGACTCTTTTATGTTGAAAATGTGCTCAGTTATTTGCAGACTAAAGCGTAACTCTCCCAACTGGAGCAGATGATTTGCATTATTAATCTAGGGCATGCTCAACCCAGTGCTTTGTTGCAAAGCAAATGCCACTCTAATCACTTCCTACATTAGAGGTCAAGAGTTACATGTTTCCTTTTTGAGTCTAGAGCATCATATTTCCAAAAGCACAATGGCTTGTTGGCCTAAGACAAGATGAAAACGTAACAAAACATAAAGCCACATCTCTTGTGAATCACGGAGTCTGTTTATTTGGTATTTTCATTTTGTGGGAACTTCATGTTGCCAGTTACTTTCTCCTTAAATGGGCGGGAGGCCAAAAAAAGCTCTAGGGATTTTTTTATAATTATTTTTATAATTATTTTAATATATATTTTTACCATCTGCACAGATTTTCCTGGCTTACCTTGCATGAGAAATGAAACTGTCATGCTCCAGCCAACCTAACACAGTCACATGGGAGATATCTGCTCACACATATCGCAGAACTCATACAGTACTATCATTACTGCAGCAAGCTTCTAAACCTGCCTTTAGTGTTTTGGGAAATTTTAGTAACAAGTGTAGTTAAGCATTTTTTTATTATTTATCTGTCAAACAGCTTAGTTTCTTTGATAGCCACTGCTGACAAGAGAAGGCCTCTTACAGCTCTGTAGTGTAGTGATGATGCAGTCTGGGCTTCTGTGTATGCTACTGTATTAGCAAAGTCTGTACACACATAGTTATATACTGACCGAAATGTGAAGTGAAAAAAATAATTAAGCTATTTGGAAACAACGTAAGTACCTTAATATATTCAGCAACCGGCTATAAAACAATTTGATATCAAATCTTTGCTATGACTTTCTGAACTTCTCTTAATGGTTCTGCTAATTACACTCTTGCTGTGTATTGTTTGAGGCTGAACCATAAGAATTCCTGTGCACAAACAGAAATCCTTGAATGCTACTGTCACATTAAAAAAATGCAATAACTAACAAAAAGCTACATTTGTACTTCTTGATGTCAGTAACAAGTATAGTATATAGCCCACTTCCCACTTCCCAACGCAGAACCACATTTATGCTGTGTAGAGTTGTGGTAGTCATTAGCTGGTTTACACAGCTCTGTAGCTTTTAAATGTGTTGTGGGATGGGAGAGTGAATTGGAAAAGTAGCAAAATAGAGTTCGTGTTGAGATAAGAAGCAGTTTACTATGGCAGAAAAGGAAAAGGAAAATAATAATACTAGTGATAATGATACAATAAATATTTTGGTTGGTAATTTCTCACTATG